CCCCTCAAGTGCTTTTACGGGGCCCGGCGTCGGAACAGAACTTGGCATGAATCAGAAATGGGTGACCCTCACATGTCATTCCCTCCATGCCTCCTGTTCCCAACAGCCCAAGAACCCTAACATCCCTGCACCTGCCTGTTGACAACAGTCCCAAAACCCTAACACCCCCTGCACCTGAACCTTGAACATCCTTCACAAGATGCATGCTCTGAGACTTCATTTGTTTTGTCCGCCCCGTCGAACTTCATCCAGGTGCCACAACCGCTGGCAGCTCTTTTGCTGCGCAGCGGTTGATTTCGCTGAACCAATGCAGCAGCCGAGACTTATCTGAAGCCTTAGTTGGCATGTAAAATCTCAGCTGTTCCATGAACCAGCTCCCGAAGCCGGGTCCTTTGGACCCCTTCTTGCCGGCGGTCCAGCGCCCCACCAAAAACCCCGGAGGTCTCTCTACGAAGGGTCGCCAGTCCGGACGCCCTTTGACCTGTAGTCGGCCAGTCTCATCCACGAGCCGCACGCCCCAGACACGCTCGTGCATCCTGGTCTGATAGCTGCCCCGGGCGAGACTAAGCACAGTGGCGCGCACTGGCAGGATTACTTGCAAAAAAAACCGGAAAGGTACCAGGAATCTGGACTTCAGTGCCGAGACTCTCCATCCACACCTGCAATGCCTTCCCGATGTTCCGATGGCGAGCCGATCCCTGGAAGCTTTCTGCAGTGAAGAACGGCTTGGCATCCTTGCTGTCCTTGTTCTCTGGCAGCATGTTCGGAACCTCGCCCTTGCGCAACTGCAGGAAGGCATTCAGTGCATGCTTGGAGAGATGCCTGTTGCGCTGCTCCAGTTGCATGTGGTGCCGGCTCCACTGGTCCAGCCTGTCGGCCAGGCATGGGCGCAGGCTTACAGGTCTAAAGCTGTCAATCCAGAAACAAAGATGCGATGCATCCCCCCCGTCTGCAGAAGTCAAGAAGCCTGGAAACACAAAAACAATTATAAAGAACCCGCCATGAGATGCCTCGTGCGCCGGCCCGGGTGCATGCGGTGCCTGCTCTACTGGTCCAGCCCGTCGGCCAGGCATGGATGCAGGCTTGCAGGATCTGGATGTGCGATCTAAAGCTCTCAATCCAGAAACAAAAATGCGATGCACCCGCGTCTTCAAAAGCAAGGAAACCTGGAAGCACAAGGACAATTATAAACGGCCCGCAAGGGGCTCCTTCGGTGCATGAGATACCTCCTGCGCCGGCTCAGCACGTCGTGCCTGCTCCACTGGTCCAGCATGTCGGCCAGGCATCGATCGGGTCAAACTTACAGGATGTGGGCGTGCGGTCTAAAGCTCTCCATCCAGAAACAAAATTGCAATGCTCCCGCCCACGACAAAATTCAAGCTTCATATGCTGGGACAGGCTGTGTAAAGGCAAACACCCTGGCCTCCTCGTCATCTTGGATGGCAAGTGGTGCTGCAGCTGCAGCTGGGACCTGTCTAAAGGTCGTTTGCTAAGCAACTGGCCTCCACGGCCTCCTTCTTCGAGGGCACGTGCTCGGGCCGCTGGAGATGGAGCTGCAGATGGAGCCTGCCGCCAAACAAGCTTCGAGTTTCAGTTGTCGCGCCAGGTTGAAGGAAAGGCTCCCCAGCCTGCTGGTCTTGGATGGCTCTCGCCAATGCAGCCCTGGCTTCCAGGATTGCCAGCGCATCCCCTGCTGGAGCGTCCAAGCCCCATGCAGCGCATTGATCACAGAGGTCCAGGTACGACAGCCGGAGACACAGCGCAGGCGAAAGAACTTTTTTCGGAGCCATCGACGAGAGCTTTGTCGAACCCCAAGTGCACCCTCTCTAGTGTGCAAGCTTCATGTTTCTGACTCAACGATGCTTCCCAGGAGCTTCGCCTATCCCAACAGGTTGAAAAAACGGGCGTGTCAAGAACCTGAAGGTGTCCAAGTATTTGCTCGCGAGTTTTGGGCCACAGGGCTCTCCCCCAACTGCGGACAACAAACTGGTACACTCATTAGCTGCAGCCGGACCAGCAAGGGCTAAAAGCCCGCGATGACGACTGCATATGGAGCAACCGTGGAAAAGCACTAGACCCCCCCTCCCAACAGGGAAAAGAACTTGAAATGCACGTGCATTAGGGTACCCCCCCCACCTCAGTGCTTTTTAAGGGACCCCTCATTTGGTAACTATTTAGGCCCCTATATTACCCAGAATTCTGAAAGTTCGACGGATTGTGTTGAGCGGCCCCAGACGATCCGAGCATCGCCGAGTCCATCGCCTGTCTTGAGCCGGGCTCGTCTTAAAAAACACTTCATAGAGGGGTACTGTAATGGTTTAGGGTTTAGGGTTTCGGGTAGGGCTTGTACGAGTTTTGTAGAGTTTACACGGGTTTTTTCCGTTGGGTTCTTGCTGAAGATGTTCTGTGATGGCAAGGGCTTCAGAAGGGTATTGAAAGGGCTGCAATGGCTGTATGGTTCAAGGGCGTAGGTTCTTGTTAGGGCTTTGGGTTTGGAGTGTCGGGTTAGGGGAGACTTAGTTGTATAAGGGGCTGGAAGTGCTTCTGAGGGGTCATATACCTCACTGTAAGGATATAGGATGAACGGTTTCAAGGCTTAGAGTGTAGAGTCATTGTTGAGAAACTCAGCTTTAACCGGGTATAGTAAGCGTTTTGTAGAGAATCAGTATTCGGCTTGTCAGAGCTTCATCTGAGGCCTTTGTGAAGAAACGTCACTCAAGTTTCTGGCATAGGGTAACTGGGGGTTTAGGGTTTAGGGTAACTGGGTTTATACAACTGTTTTTCGGCTCTTGGGAAGGAACTTTACTAGTGGATGCACAATCGGCATATGTGCTAAATGATATGCTTCCACTTCTTGTAGCTGAGGCCAAGTCCCTTAGTAAGAACCCTAGGGTTTAGAGCTCTTAATGGGGTCTAAAGTTTACGGTTTGAGAGCTGACGGTCTCATATGTTGAGCCTTTGGCTTTCAGTTGGAGTTTGGAGCTTCAAGGTTAAGAGCTTAGGGTTCAGGGTGGTCGGCTTGCGGGCTTTAAGCCTTTTCCTGAATGCCAGAAACATAAAAAGTACGGAACCTAAAGGAAAAATCGCCTTAACCCTACATCCTCGTCTTGCATTCACAATCACCATGGGGCCTCGGGCTTTCCGGGCCTAGGCTTACCTCGAGTTTACGATCAGGGCCGTGATAATTAGAATAGGGGTTTTGGGCAACATTATACTACAATATTCCCCTCGACACGGCTGTGTTCTCAAGAAAACTGACCAGTCGATGCTTTAGAAGCTCGTTTTTTCGGTGAAAACCCACTTCTCGGTCACTACAAGTTAGCAGTTTTGTGGGTATGAAGTTGTGCCCCCTGCCACGGTTTCCACTTTCTTGGCTTGGGAATGCGAAGACAGACCGCGTTGCGAGCCTGACTATTGAGGGTTAGGGGCTCAGGGCCGCAGGCCTCGCGTCAAGGACTGGAAGGCCTAAAAACCCCCTTAGTTCCTTAGGGGCTGAGTACCCTAGCCCAAAAAAAGGCAACCTTTTGAATTATAGTAGGATTATCTAAGCCCCAAAAGGTTAAAGGTCACCTGCTCAGCCCCTAAGGTTCGGGGCTCGAAACACCACCGAAGTCGTGGCCGTCAGAGGAAACAAGGCGACGCTATCGAAAAGCCAGAAGCCTCAACACCCCTTCAGGACGAGAAGAGCCCTGAAAGGGTTTAAGGTTCATATACCCTATAGGAGTTCTTAGTATAAGGGTATAGGGCCCCTACTTTTAGGTGTCTTTTCGTCCTTAAGGCCGAAGGCCTCAAGCCTAAAGCCCGAAAGCTGAACCCTGAACCCCAAAGCCTCGAGCCCAAATCCCTACACCGGCGTCGGATGTTGCGGAAGAGAGCTTAGAGAGCTCCTAAACCCTAAAACCCTAAAC